CYATMTCCACCCAGTGYGCCTTCTTTAAGGTGCCAAATAYAGCTACAAATTGCTAAACTGCCTCCAAATAAAAGGAGGCTACCAAGGSGTTGAGGCTGCTTTATCTGGTTTMTTTTAAATGAAGGACACTATTTCACTGCTAAGAATAGAAAAGTGGGATTTGCTGCAAAAATATCAACTTTGCAGATACCAATTACAGGGCAAAGCRTTAAAATGAAAATCAGACTGGTGTTACGGGAAAACTTGTTTTTCTGGCCAGAGGTTTCCTTCTCCCAGCTCCAAGTTTTTAATGATATCAGCCAAATAAGATTAGTATTCTTATTTTCCTCTGTTCACAGATCACACTGCTGTGAGTTTCTGTTACATGGAAAACAAAAAACCAACAGTCTCCCTCAAACCAGCAGTACACATTAGATGTAAAAGGTGGCAAATAATCAAGAGCATGACAACACACCCTACTTCACTCACACAAAACTTCTGAACGTAGTGTTTATTGCTAATAATTTGCTTAAAAACACTGGCAAAATGCTGATCTTTCCTGATACTCTGACACTTTCTATCCCTTCACATCACTGTAAAAAAACAACTAAAACAAAAATAAGAAAAAAAAACAGTCTATAATTATTAGTAAGAGGTTACTACACTTTTAATTCCTATAAAGATGCCAGCAATTATCAAAGCTGCAGCTTTGCCCCAGTTCTCAAAGTCAGGAAGAAATCTTGCCAGCTGGCCATTCTTACAGAATTAATCATATCTCTCTCACACAGATTTCATACTGACTTCCTTACATTTGCTTTAAGTCATGCAGAGCAGGTGCGTTTTGTCTCTCTATTCCCAGCATGGGCCAACAATGGAAATTACCCAACTTCATTGACAGGATGCAGCTTGTTAAATCAAATCTCTTAAGACTAACAAATCACCATGAAGAACAAGCTTCTAAAAAGTTTGCAACAAAAACGGTGCAGTAAGCTCACAGTAAAAACTCTTCTAAAACCTACAGCAGSACTTTTTTTAAGCAGTACAATCACAGCATACATATGTGAATAACAAATATGTGAAGGCACTCAAAAGTCTTTATTTTTAACCAAGAGACAGAGATAAAAATCCATTGTACCAAACTACTAGAAGGGAAAAATATCAATAGACAACATTTTAATTTTTAAATGGCTGAATGGTAMAGAACAAGAAGAAAAATGTAAACCCTTTTCTCTTTATCAACTCTCATGTAATGGAGGAATAGTACATTCACRCATTTTGGGAGAGGAACATACATGCAGAGGTCTGCAGTTAGGCATAAAGAYTGATAAATGTATTTTGGGCCAAAATGTAAACTTCTGGCCCAAAATTCCTGGAAACTATTCATATACACAAARTGTAGTCTGTATGATCAGCAAAAAAGGGAAATGCTACAAATGGGTTTTATCACACACTGAACTCCTTCCAGGCAGAGAGTAAACAGGCCAACACAAAAGCCATCCAAATTGTTCTAAGAGGGCAGATATACTTCCTGAAACCAGACATTTGAGCTTAGCAGCAAAACAAATATCAAAAACCGACCAACCAACCAACCAACCAACCAAACAGAACACAAACCAAAAAACCCCAAAAATCAAAAAAATCCAAACCACAAAAGCTAAATTGTTCATATGCTCATGATCTTGATAATCATTCTGGCAGAGCATCCAGCTTGCTGCTCTTTCTTGGCATGGGCCACAACTGTGTAAACTGAGGTGTTTTCTAAAGGGGCCATTTCTCACAATGTGATGAATGCACCAAATCCTTTACTTAGCAGTCACGGCTGCTGTGAAGGCTTTAACAAGCAATGGTAAAAAGTTGTTTGTGTCACAGTACATAAAGCAATAGGCCTTTCTTTAAAKACAGAGTTTTGAAGTCTGTAGCAATGCCACACCTCAGGCAGAAAACTCTGTATTCTGAACCAAGTGTTATCACAGCGTGATTCAAAGATGAAACAAAAAWGGAACAGAGGGTGGAACTACACAAAATACAAAAAAAAAACCAAAAACTCACACACCCTTGTAACCAGAATGGTAACTTATTAAAAGCAGAACATTTAAGACTWAAATTTAGAATTCAGGACAAAAACGTAACAAAAAAGCACGATTTTGTAAGAGGCACTTCCTCAGAGGAAAAAATACAGATACTCCAGTTGTCAATGTAAAATGTCTCTGGGCATTTACATAACTGACAGTTTAAGACTGGTCAGACTGGTCAAGTCTTTTCTTGGAGAGCAATATTTACTATCTACTATCATCCACAATTCAATAGGTTTTCTAGAGCATTAACTAAATTGCTCCAATAAATGAATGAAAGAGAGAAACATTCCTTTGMTTGCACACCAGTAATTTCAGTATCACATGCAGAAATGTGCAGCCTCATTTCTGTTCAGAGATTAGTGGAAGTTCCCAGTATAAAACATATAATTACTTTGGTCTTTGAGTTGATTGGAGATAAGGAAGTATTAAACCCAATATATTTTCCATTTTTAAAGAGTCATGGGATAGATTCCTGTCTTAAATAAATATTTACATTTCTAAATAATCTCCAGCTTTACTATTTCATCCCTTACAACAACAGAAGAAACATTACACGGCAGTTCTTTTCTTTTCTGCAGATAAAAATTTTCATGAACAATATCCATCCAAAATTAAAATTTAGTTATTACCAGTGAGTTCCAAAGGTTTTTCAGTCCTAAGAAGTGGAGCAAAAAACAAGAAGGAAGTGTTCTTACCTTCTCTATGTACRTCAGGGGGAATTGCAGGTGCCATCATGTTGGTATCCATGGGCTGGGAGGTATCGTGTGTCATTGGATCTTCCGGAGGCAGGTAAGCAGGTGGRGGAGTATCAGCTAAATATAGAAAAGGCAGAGATACATGAGTCCTTTCCTCTCTTTAAAGCATATCCACACATCCACATAAACAGTTTGACCCTGGAAATGCTTCCAGCCTGACTCAGCTATAAACTTCCACCCACCAGAAATCTGAAAAAGCAATCACAGACCTCAAATAAGGAAAGCAAAGAATTACTGAGCATATTAAGCACAATTGCAATCAAAACAAGTCGCTTCACCCCCACACAAAGCCACAACAGAAAACTCAGTTGTGTTTCCAGCCCACRGTTCTGCAGCCGGAAAGTGCCGTACAAACATCAGGGCACAAAGAGGTCTCAGGGCCCAGACAAGTGTAGATATTGAATATGTTAAAAGTGAAYAGAAGTTGGAGCAGAAAACTCAGTTCAAACTTTTCTGTTTCCAACACAATTCCACCAGCAAAGTATGCGAACATCTCACGATATCCAGGGCGTCATCATTGTCAATGCGAAGTATTAGCTCTGTTTCCATAGACTAGGAACAGCAGAAAGTGTTCAGGAAGTCAAATTTGACAGAAGTGGCCATCTGGGTCTGGAATTTATCTGTCAGTGTATCTGTCCTGTCCCATTTAGGGCTGAAACACCAGCAGAGAACAAGCCCGTGCACAGTGACCACACTCACTGACATACRGCTTTCAGCCCTGTTTGAAGTGTCCCAGCCAACACTGCCCTTCACCTGCTATTCCMCTTCTGGGAAAGTTTCCCAAAAGGTTTCWTAGAAGCTGCAGGAAGTTGCCAATGTCACCATTTCCCAATACACCAGAGGACACTCTCCTCCAGATCAATTGCACAGAGGTACATCCAAGAGTGAGAAAGCCTTGCCTGATCCCTGCAAGCTTTTCCTGCAAAAGCTGGGATTCGATTACCACTGCGCTGTCTCTGCTGCTGCTCATCCCACATTTATTTCCATTACTGAGAGTATGGATTGCAAACTACCACAGAAAAATAATCACAGGGGCTCCCAAAACTCTGAAAACCAAACCAGCGTCAAAGGCGGGAGAATGCTTTGTAAGTCTGGGGGGTTTTGTCTGGATTTTTTTTTAAGAAAACACATGTTCATGGAATTTATTAATTACTTATTGTTTAGCAGGTATTTTACTGAGAGCTTTGCATCTAATGCTGGCAGGTGCCTTGCTAATTCTTGAACACCCTCAGCTGGATTAATAAGCAGCAGAGAAAGACAGAGATGGCAACAGGGCTGCATTAAAAGCTTAACAAAATGCACTGGATTTTGAGTCCCATGTTTTGCTAAGCCTTAAATGTTTGTGTGTGCGCAAACATGATGCTGGTCATGCACAAGATTCCAAGRCCACAGGCAACAAATTAATCAGTACCGAGAAAGTTTTCAAAGATAACTGCTTTGCCCCTTTATTTTGTATTTTCCAGAAGTCAGCCTCTTTCCCCATTAGTGCAAGATGGACAATTGTCCAGGGCTAAGCATCAAGGACATCAGTACCCTGACCTCCCCTCTAATTCAATTTCTTCACTGCAGCTGCTGACATTAAGGGCATGTGGACAGAACAGACCTTCAAAGATCAAGTGAACTTCCACAAGCCAGCATYCAGGAAGACCTTGTTAGGTTTTTATCTCTGTTGGAAGAGCCCCAACCACAGCAATCACGTTAAAAAAAGGAAAAAAGAAAAGACAGCTGGTTTTACAGCAATTTGTCACATTTTTAGAAAAGCCAATACAAATTCTCTTTCCTTCCTTCCAGCAAATTCAGTAGTCTTCACTCAAAAGAGAAAAAATTGAAACAATTATCAAGAGCAGAAATCTATGGATATTAATTTCATGTAATAGGAAACAGTTTTTCACAAATCTGCTCCTTTGTTTACACATACCCTCCCCCTCAGCCCCTGAARAAAACAGGCAAACAACACCAGTTAATATTTGTACTGCATCCTTCTCCCAGCATTTAGATCAAGAAATCCACCACAGACTGCTTCTCCAGTATTTTTATCCCTCTGCATTAAAGACCAAAAAAAAGGCAGCTTCATGGAATTTTTTACAGATACCAGTCAACAAAGGAAGGCTCTTACTTCTCTGACTTCAGGTAGTAAAACAGCCTGAAGAGGTATTTTAAGGGCCTGTTTTTCAGTGGAAGTATATTTGCTTCTTGAAATTACACCACTATGCAAAGAAATTGTTATTAAGTAGCAAAAACCTGATCACCTTGAGAAATATTCTTTTCCTGAAGAACTAAAGCCTTGCTCTGAGCTTATGATCATCTCTTTCTTAAGCAAGGATGATCTCTATCATTACACTTCTGGTGCATTAAACACCATGCCTGGTGGGCTAAATTGCTGCTGGTCCCCAGAATATTTTGGATCCCTCCCTACACAAGTTTTAACTGTGTTGTGTTTTAACTGTATTGTTTTAACTGAGTTTGAAAGAGGCACAACATTAAAGCCTTCAATATTACCAAARAGATCCTATACTCATTATTACCCTACATCTCTTAGCTTGCTATTGAACACAAGTGTTRGCTGACAATTTGGTGTTATAAAGCAAAAAACCCATGACAGCAGTGATGTCCAACCACCTTCTCCYTTCTGAAGGGAAGCCAACTGTACCTGGCATCTGGAAAGGACTTCCTGGGTCTGAGCTGGCTGGAGAATGTGGATAGGTGCTACTGCTGCTTCCAGGCGAGTTTGGGTAGCTGCTGTTGGGCGAGTGGGGGAACGGGTGGCTGTTGGGCTGCTGGAAAGAGTCCGGGAAAGTCGCGTTGTGCGGCATGTGGGGCTCGTTTTGTCCCAGGTTGCGGAACTGCGCCAAGAGGCTGTGCTGGGGGTTGTACTCACTGTGCCTTGGAACCAGCACCGGAGGAAGGACTGCAAAGGGAGAAAGAGAGAAAAGCCACAGCATTAGAGACTCACTTCTGAAGGTACACAGGGGAAAAAAACCCACATTCTTCCTCCCCCACATCTGCCTCAAAAACAAAGTAGTTAAACCTAGAAGCACACATCCAAGCAAGAACTCTTTCCTTTACATCCARTTACTGCACAGCTCCAATCTGCAGGTTTGCCACATGGGAGCTGGTTTTCACAGAGGGCCAGTGAAGAAGAGCCAAGAATAAACCACAGTTCTGTGCTTCAGTTTTACTCGCACGAAGACATGSTGGGAAGTAAGAGCCTGACAATGCTGACATGCAGTTCCTCCTGCACTTGTGATCCTACTAATCACCTAATGGCCTGTAACCCAAACCCTTGTTAATAAGAACAGATTTTTTTTTTGAAGACACTACCAATAGGCCTTGAACTCAGTCTAGTCCTAACAGCTGTAATTTTATTTTTAACCTGGACTGTGTTCTTACAAGTTACTATTAAAACAGTTATTAACTCTTCAAGTCAGTTTACAAAATGTGCAATTTAAACAATATGATGCAGTTCAAAAAAACCAACTGAGCAGCAATTGAGCTGCAACTATGTRCTACTATGGGATCAGAGAAACATCAGAAACTAGGAGTCTTACCACACTTCTGAAGCCTTCTCAGCAGAGAAACAAAGGTCTCTTTCAAAGTGGGGATATGAACAGGATACCAGATACACTAAGATAAAAGAATAAACTCTTTTTCCAGTTCCTCAGCTTCTATCTTTGCATGCCTCACAGTAAAGTCCAAGCTAACTGAAGGATTAAAAGCTCTTCTTTTCACAGAGATTTTGGGTGATGGATACAAGAGGAGAGGCAAGGTCTGGGAGWGGGAGGTCCACACACAAAGCAGCGGAAGAGAAATAAAAAAGTTAGTCCTCTTCATGTCTTACCCCTTTGGAACGTCTGTTGTCCAACTCCAAGGCTCAGTAGGGCTGGAAGAACTGCCCCACTCCTCCCCCCAGATAGCCTGCCTTTAAGATAGGGTGCCAAAAATCCAACAAAACCCAGGAAAAACAAGCCAAGGCTACCACCCTTGCTCCTCAAGACTCCCACTGCGGCCCCAAGACCTGAGCACACAGAAGAGGAACAGAGGCATGTGTACACAACAAGCCTATACATACATAACTATCACTCAGATTTAGAAAGGTGTTTTGGAGCTGCTTTATTAAAAGGTTGAAATACAAATTAATTGTAAAAAAAAAAAAAAAAAATCACATTTCATTATTGTTCAAGAGAGTGGTCTTAGAAATTATCAATAAAAAAAAAAAAAAATCAACAAAAACCTAAACATTTCCTTGACATGACAAAAAGGTTCTTCCAGGGCACTGGAGCACCTTTATTCTTCTGTAAAGAATCATCTTTACTTTGCTGTAATAGCAAAGTGTAATAGCACTTTGCTATTACAGAAGCAACACTCAGGTATTTACTTCAGTGTCCTGGGGCCCAAGAGTACCAGGATACCACCTGATATATGGACATGACACCAGGTCTGAGGTCCAGGTTCATGTTTATGAAGGGACAGAAATGAATGCCACACTRAAAACTCACTCTCTATTCCTAAAGTCACAGATTAACTAAAAAGAAAATATGTAGGTCTCCCTTGCTCTTATTTTTTTTGCAGATGCTTAAGGGAGAAATCAAGCCACCATTTTTGCCTGCTRGTGGCATTAATGCATGAGCAGTCTGATYCCAGAAATCTTCATTGAACATACACTGAAAAAAACCCAAACCMTCACTRSTGAAATTAAGGCTGCCCACGTCAGAAACACGTTTTAAGGATTTTATCTGATCTCTCAATTTCTTAGAGCAACTTCACTGARATTCCAACAGATCTCAAGTATTTGMGGTAGATGTCACCTCAAAGTAGATTCRTTTAGGTGTAAAAAACCAACTCYACTTTACAAGGCATAGGCAATGTTCCTAATTACGGTGTTTTCTGAAACAGAACACATCCATCTGTCATTCCATGGAAGTTCCCAATTGCAAAACACCCYAGGAGAGCCTGCATCTCCCTCAGCTGTACAGACTGTTCCTTGCTCCAAGGCAGCCATTCTCACATGTTGTTTGAAAAGGCTCTTAAAAAAACACCATTCAGCAGGACATCACACATCTCATTCACAACATGTCAGAGCCAAACTCTCTGAATGTTAGGGTCTCCTAKAATTAAGCTTGTTCTGTTAAACCCAGCAGTCCTTTTGCAGCTAGGTCAAGTGCTATTTAATTGTCAAAGTCAACTTTTGCTGGGCTAACAAATTACCAGTGMAAAAATTAACAATGAGATCATGTGTTAAAATGTATTTTCCCTTTCCTGTCTTTATGATTCTTCCTTACTTTTCCAAGCATTAAAAACACAGCTTTCCTATCTCTTCCTTTGCTATGGATGAAGGTCAAACCATTAATTTTGTGGAGTTAATTTGTGCAGAAAGTACATCACCTACCTTTCCCACCCCCTACCTCACATTAAACAATGACACACATGACATCAGAGGAAGCCACATGATTTACAGCATTTTAAAATAGCAGGAGAACAGGATATTTTCTGTATGTTTTCTGTAATTAAATTAATGCAGTGCCAGATTTTCCCAAGGTATATATACATGTTTTCTCCTGTTGGGCAGAACCACTGGTGAAGTTCAGAAGGACTTGAGATAAAAACAAGTCTCCTTTTCCCAGGTGTCCTTCATGCAAACCCACACTTCTTGTCCAACCCCGTCAACCTCAAGTGATTAARTGCCAACTTCTTCAAAATACACAAGAAGAGTGGGAAAAAGAATACAACTGGTRTTGATACAGTACAAATAGTCTCAAAAACACCATGGCAGAATTTACTTTGAATGCTGCCCCTAATTCACATCTTCCCTGCATATACACAACCTCCAATGGGGAGGAAAAGCCCTGAAAGGCCACATCAGGTGGGACAGAGCCTTCAGTGCTCCAGCTAGTCCAACTCCAAGTCACCCACTGCCATAACCCGATCTCTCTGCAGCTCCCAGTTTTTTGCAGGGAAGCCACAGAGGAGTTAATYTGAGTGCTGCTCACTCAGGAGTGAAGACATGAGCAGGGACTGGGCCTTTTGGAGCATGGAAGGCTGCTAGGAGTTCAAACCATAAAGGGGGATGCACACCCTTCTTGCTCCTCTCGCTCCTGTGTAAGGCTTCTGGTCAGGTTGCAGACCTCAACCACATGGAATAACAAATTACTGAGGCTCAGTCCAGCAGGGGAGGAGGCTGATCTCTGCTGCAGCTGCCAGCTCCAGGAAGAAGTGTAATTGAAGGGGAAAGAGCACGAGAGAGTTATTCGGTGCTAAGCCAGCACACCTGTTGCTATAAAATAATGAAGCAGYGCACATCTTTGCTGTGCAGATCTCTGCAGGATGTGGCTCTAATCATTTGCAAACACAATTCCTCCCTTCCTCTTCAGCAGAAGGGAACACATACACAATATTTTTTTTTTTAAATTATCATCAGTATCATCAGTGTATAGTTAAAGGAAATATACTATTGAATATACTGTTGTCTTAAAAAGTTACTGCAACAGATTTGCAAACTCAACCTCATTAAAGTTAATGGAGCAGAACCACAAGTCATCCGACAGCTTGATTTCTGTAATTCTTCAAACACGGATTAAAAGTTTTTTATGTGCTACACCGTGGCTAAATTTGCTCCCCAGCTCCTCAGTCAATGCAGACCTAGAGTTGAGAGTTAACTCATGATTACTACCAGCAAGGTTACTAATAAGCAAGAGGAAGAYAAACCCCCTGGAAGCAGGCTGGGTATGTTTATGGAACTGTAGCTGAGATTCCYCGTCTGTCAAGACAGCCTGGGAATTGGGGAGCTTGTTTTTACCATGCAAATAAGACCAAGTACGCCTGCACCAAACAAGAGGAGCTGTATTAAAGAAATCAGAGCTACAGGGCAATTTCACCCACAGGGCTATTTCATCTAGGAGCCAAGAATGCCAAAAATACAGAAGACAGACCAAAGGCAACCTRGCTGTTCAGATAAATGTTCTGACTAACCACACCAAGGAAGAAATGCTTTTATGAAAAAGGAATGGTGGCCTTTGAAGAAACTTACTGATCTCTACTCTTTTAATCTCCAGCATGTCACCCTGTTCTTCTTCAGAAAACTAACAGCTGCGCTATCCTAAAYAAAGATATTCTTGCTTTTCTTTTTTGTTCTATTTTCACGTTCCAAAGATAATGATTTTAGTAAACACAGAAACACTCCAATTTATGAACATAATTTTTTTTTAAGTTTCTCTATGAAAACCCCAAAACGAATCCACTCCAAAGGACCTGCAGTACTTTCAAAGGAGCATATTTTCTATGCAGATGGGTTTTGATTATCTTACACAAGCCCAGATGACAGCTAGCTTCCCTCAAGGGCTCATTTTTTCCACACCCCTTGCATATTATGTGAAAATTTGGGCAGGTATCTCTCTTTCCATGTATGGAAATTGAAAGACCATGTAATGAAATACAAGGGGAAACATATATGCAAGCAGACTTTGATCTACTTTCCTTGCCAAAGTAGATACTACTTCTGCAAAAATTTTATTTATAAAATAAATGAAAAAAGAATAATATAAGCAATTGGTGCTGTACTTTTTGCTCTTAAAAATTATGACTTGGCTGACATATGTCCTGTAGAAGGGTTTGTACCATAACATGGCCCTCTGTGCTAATGAAGACCTGACAAGACTAYCATTAGATAAAGCACTTTGATTTCCAAGCATTATATAGCTGCATTTGCATTTGAATTTATGTAAAGCCACGTATGTTTTGCCAGAAATACAGAACTRCAGGTTGGGAAGGAAGGAAGGAAGGAAATCCTAAAACAAAAGTTCACACTATCTGGAAACAAGAAAATCCTGCAAAAACTAAGTTATATCAAAAAGGAAGAGTTGGGAGAAGAAAAAAAAACCCCAAAATCAACAAAAGAGAGCAGCTGTGTTAAAC